GTTGAAAGGCTTTGTTTTGGAGAATTTTTTATATAACGATATTTTTACTAATATTTTATATGTTCATTTTATTGTTAATAAGATGCTGATATTTTATATGTTATAAAAAAATACTATTTAAAAATATGTCTTTTCTATATTGAAAAATAAAATGAAATAGATGGATTATTTCTAATAAATGAGTGTTTTATTTATTTATTTATTTATTTATTTTGATTTTTGAGTTGCATGATAAAATACTATTCCACTATTCACTATATCCACAAGTTTATGATTCAAATTTAACATCCCGTAGATATACTCCTTATTGTCCTTGTGGGTCTATTTAAATATTATAAATTAGCTGCAATCTCTATTTTTATATTTATTAATGAAATCTCATTATTTACTATAATTTTTTTCAAATTAATTTTTTTATTTATAATTTAATATAATATAGATTATAAAATAAAAATGATTAACTAAAAAACTCATAATACCAAAGAATCCATCTAAATAATAATTAGTATTGTCCTGGTAATTGTGTTTTAAAATTTTAATAAATTTGGGCCAAAAAATTTATAAATAAAAATATATAAACAAAAGCCCTAACTAAATTGCGAATCCCATTCAAATCAATCCAATAGAAGCTACTGGAAGAAAGCAAGCAGCTGGTCACCGCAAAACCAGTAGACAAAAAAGGCCTACAGCAGTCGTCTCGTACCTTCGCAAAAGCGGTAGGGGGAAACAAGATATCGTATTATCGCCGTGATTTTCCAAAACCGTAGAACCTTGCCGTAACCGGTACAGGATGGACGCAGCCAAATTGAACGAGCTTAAGAATTTCATCGATCGGTGCCAATCCAATCCCTCCATCCTCAGTGATCCCTCTCTCTCCTTCTTCCGCGACTATCTCGAAAGGTAAATACAGTTACTGTCTTCAACCTGTTGTCTATGTGATTATCTCTCTGTTTCTCGCTCTTATTTGGCTGTTGTAATGGTGGTTTGGTTTCAGCCTCGGCGCTAAGCTCCCTTCCTCTGCATATGAGGGCGACTCCAAATCAGTATGTTTTAGCTTCGATTGCTTTCTCATTTTTGTTCCCTGAGGGATGATTTTGTATATATGTTCTGTGATTGATTGAGGATTTGATTTGCAGAAGAGTTATGTGGTGGAGGAGAGTGACGAAGAGATGGCGGATACTGAAGAAGTCAAAGTGCATTTTGAGGAAGAAGAAGAGGAGGATGAGATAATTGAATCGGATGTAGAGCTTGAAGGCGAGACTGTGGAGCCTGATAATGATCCTCCGCAGAAGGTACATATAAGTTCTTTCACAACAGATTTCTAAGAGTGTCGTTTGTTGGATGAGTTGTTGTTTTTGGTGTTTTAATGTATAAATGCCTTGGTCATAGCAGATGGGAGATCCTAGTGTTGAGGTGACAGATGAGAGCCGCGAAGCTTCTCAAGCAGCTAAGGCCAAAGCCATGGAAGCTCTTTCTGAAGGTGCATATCTGCCTCTTTGAACCTTTATGTACAACCATCGATTTGTTTCTCTATGAATTTTTAATTAATGGTTCAATGCACTGCAGGAAAGTTCGATGAAGCTGTTGAGCATCTGACTGAGGCCATCTTGCTGAATCCAACATCTGCAATTATGTACGGAACAAGAGGTGAAGGCTGCTTTGATTTTTATGATATGGTTAGTTGGATGATATTTGTTCTGAAGTTTTTAGCTTGTATCTCTTATTTGTCAGAAACTTGTTTGCTTTTGTGATGAATTTTCAGCTAGTGTTTATATCAAGATGAAGAAACCCAATGCTGCCATTCGAGATGCCAATGCAGCTTTAGAGGTTTGTGTATAAGTTATTTTGTTTTTGGTTCAATGGCACTTTTTTGTGTGTATGCTTCTTTGATATGTATATAAATTGTAATACAGTGAATGCCACGAAACATCTGTCATGTTTATTAGTATATGAGTAGTTTTATATCATCTGAATGCTATCTGTTGTTTCAGACAACATTCAATTAATGGAGGTTTGTTTTTAAGTTATTTTGTTTTTGGTACAATGACACTTCACTGATAAGCCATGAATGCTATATGTTAGTATATAAGTAGGTTTTAGGCTTAGTACTGGAGTTCTGAATTCGTGTTATTATGTTTTAAGATTATTCATGAAACTATATCGTGATGTCTGCAAAAAAAAAAAAGAAAAGAAAAGAAAAGAAAGAAAGTTTATATATTTTGACTTTTATTCTGCTTATCTCAGATTAACCCAGATTCTGCCAAGGGTTATAAGTCTCGTGGCATTGCACGAGCAATGCTTGGTCAGTGGGAAGAGGCTGCAAAGGATCTGCATCTTGCATCAAAGTTAGATTATGATGAGGAGATCAATAGTGTACTTAAAAAGGTCTGGTGACAGTATGGGCTATTATTGGTGGTACTGATTGTTAAAAGTGAAAACATTAACCAGGGCAGGATTAGCTATGTTGCTTAAAGTTTGACCTGCTTTAGCCTTCATTTCTAACTCCTTGATTTCTCAGGTTGAACCAAATGCACACCGTCTTGAGGAACATCGCAGGAAGTATGAAAGGTTGCACAAAGAGAGAGAGGAAAGAAAGATTGAGCGTGAACGACAGCGTCGCCGTGCTGAAGCTCAGGTAATAATACTCGTCAATCTTCTGATGGGTTTGCATTAGCATTGGCTTTTTGCATGACTGATTCTGTCATGATTTCTGCTTAAGGCTGCATATGAAAAGGCTAAGAAGCAAGAGCAATCATCATCCAGTGGAAAACATGGAAGCATGCCAAGTGGTTTTCCAGGTGGAATGCCTGGAGGTTTCCCTGGTGGCATGCCCAGTGGAATGCCTGGAGGTTTCCCTGGTGGCATGCCTGGGGGAATGCCTGGTGGTTTCCCTGGAGGCATGCCCGGTGGAATGCCTGATTACAGCAAAATATTGAATGTAAGTATGGCATGACTTGCAACAGGACTAATAATAATTTTTGCTAGTACTTCTTCATATTCTATTGGCTGAAGCATATATAGTATCATCTCTGCATTTCACGACCTATCCTGCACGTGTTTTTTGCTTTTATATTGCAAATAAGCTGGCATGCTATCTACCATTTCTTGATATGTTTTTCTGTTGATTTCCTGAGCAGGACCCTGAATTGGTGGCAGCATTTAGTGATCCAGAAGTTATGGCTGCTCTTCAAGATGGTGATGATTCCTTCTCAATTGTTTTCTCAATCATGCATCTTAACCCCCTCTACTTCCTTTGATTAAACCATTTATTCCTTCAAATTGCCGACTAATTTCCATTTTCCACTTTTAGATAGGGGAAAGTTTTCACTGATTTGGACCAATAACTATAGTCAGTTTAGATTCTTTGACAATGAGTGAAAGCTATTCCGGTAAAATAATTCTAGGAGCATCTACCTGAACATTTCTATGATATGATGGTGTGAGATTTGGCGAAAGCATTACCCTGTATATTATTTCTAGATAGGTTCAGCCTTAGGCTTCATTGAACTGACTATCTGGTTTATTTGTCTGATTATGAAACTTCTAAATATATTCATTTTAAAGCTTGTATGATGTGTATGCGGTACCCCCTTAATCATGTTTAATTTATAGATTTAGGTCAAATCCTCTATTTGCACCTTACACATTACTTTTTTACATGGTCAATACCTGTAAGAATTTTTACTCCCAGTCAATATCCTCTATAATTTAAAACTCGTAAAAATCTCAAAAATTAACTGTCAAACCCCCTATTTGCACCCTGGTTTTGTTGGTAATTTGGGGTTATTTACTGGTTTCAAATTATGGAGGGTGTTGACTATGGAAAGAAACAATGTGCAAGGGACAAATAGGGGGTTCGGCCTAACTTATGAACTTTCATGTTATACTCTTATTTGGTTAAGAACTTCTGATCAGCTTATTTAAACCTTCTGAATTTTACTAGCAAGACTTGAGGTGTGTTTGGTTCATTTGTTCAATTTGATGTTTCAAATGGCTATTTTGTGCTGTTTATGTAATCTACTGAATCAATATACCGCATTTGTCCCAGTGAAATATCTTTTATCTCAACTTAGGTGTTTCTAATTTAGCTGACCTAGCTGTCTACTCTTTTAGTTGAGAATACAGGGTTTTAAGCTTTTTCGATGCAAAAATGGATTAAAAACATGTCAGGGTATTGACTTTGTATGCCTAAAGAGTACTACGCTTGTCTGACTGATGTCCTATATTTTGTTTTGCAGTGATGAAGAACCCTGCTAATCTTGCAAAGCATCAAGCAAATCCAAAGGTAGCTCCCGTGATTGCAAAGATGATGAGCAAATTTGCTGGGCCAAAGTGAATAGCTTTTATTTTCGAGTCAATGGCACATCGAAGTGACCTTTTAATGTTGATTTCAAGGCGTCCAGGTCAGCAAATCGTGTTTTAAGTAGTTCTTTTCATTATCATTTACCTTGCACATGAAGAGTGTTTAAAGCTTTCTAAAACGGGAGATGAACACAGTTACAAGCCTTTGTTTGCTTGCTTGCTAAAATTGGAGTTCTACATGCCATTAACTTTGGAAAGTGGGCCCTGGGCCCTTGGATTCTTATCACTTACAAGCCTTTGTTTTGCTTGCTTTGCATATGGTTTGATTTGTGATGTCCAAGGTAGGAAGTTGGCTCACTTTTCTCACTTTAACGGATTCAGCCTCACTAGATCCTCAAAACCCTCAGCTTTACATTCAAATAAAATCGTCCTTTTTTAATGGAGAAATTTCCTTTTTTGCTTGCTTGCTTCAAACAAAGTGCCCTTCTGTAGTACAATGCTTCCCAGTCAATCTGTTTTCTGTCACCCTGCAGTTGAGTTCGAAGCCGGGTAGCAACTAAAGCCATTGTTTCGTATTGGCTCATGTTTCACATTACATGAAGGAAAGAGACTTGTTGCCTATTTTGAAGTTACATATCAGTGGCCTGTGACTGTGAGAGAAACTAGACATTTATCCCATGTTTTCAAAGCTCAACCACTAGTTAATATAACCTACCACTTCCTTAAGGAGCCAACAAGATCTCATTTATATGATCTAGAAAGTAACAACTCATGAGATAAAGCAGGAGAGGTAAAGAAAAGCATAGTTTCGTCAAATCCTCGTAACCCTTACCTGCTTGTTTGATTTCAACCTATTTGTCCTTTTCATTCTTTAATTTCCCTTACCAATTTGACCCAACCATGCTCGAAACTGGGCAGGTATTATTCACACCGTGAAGTGTCTTGTAGACTTGATAAGAGTTTTAATCAACACGGAAATGAACCTTTTTTTCTTTTTCTTTTCGATCTTTGGAATTTGGATCCTCATCCCCCTCACCAGCTTTTGAACCCCAGATCCCAAACGCAAGAAACCATATTCTTAGTCAATGGAACCTTGGGAAGGCCAGTGTAAGGTCTTCAAATTGCAGAAGTATGATGAGAGTGCATCTGACGCAAATCTGTAACTACCAAACTGGGGACGGCTAGCAATGGTGTTATGGTTTTTAAAATTGTAAAATGATATCTTTAAAAAAATTTTAATATATTTAATTTGATTAATAAAAATAATTAATAAATATAATTATTATAATAATTAATAATTGATATTTATTAATTAATAAATTAAAATAAATCAATAAATTGATATTTTTAGATATTATTTAAGAAACAAACTAAAAATTGTAATAGCCTTAACAATCTTTATAGTAACAATAACTACATCCCTAAACTAATTCAAACTAATTCAAGTGTGTACTAACAAGGATTTCACCATTCCATGATATAATTATTCAATCCCTCTTAAGTCTAGTGGAAAGCCGAAATTATATTACTCTTGGCCAAACCCACCTCAGGCTTACCGATATATGTCGGCAGTCAAGAAAAGATTATAATAATTAAGCTAGCATATTTGGGGCTTAATAATGTGATTAAGTAAATCAATTTGGGTCTAATGACGAGTGCATTACCCAAAAATTATGTAATTAAGCAGCCGACAATCAATCAAAATTCACTGTTTTGTAAAAACAAATTGATTATTATTATTATAAAAAGGCGGAAGTCTTGTTTGACGGGGAATAATTCACAAGCCACCACCACAACGTTTTATGAAAATCCCATTCGGTGGTAGTTCAGAAGTCACTTTAATGTGCGCCTGATGGTATTCATGTCATAATGATCAATCAATTCACCCAATCTCTTTGGACATTCATTCACCACCACAATTTTGATTTATAATTCGATGCGATGTATTTAAATATTCAATTAATTCTTTTTCGTTTAACCAAAGAGTTGAGGTTTTACACTAGGGAGATGGTATGTCGTTGAGAGGTATTTAAGGGAGGATTATATAAACTTGCATAGAGATTTATTGTTATATAAATTTTATAT